GCTATACAGTAGGAAGAATAAAAATATAAGCAAAACGATGTAGAAAACGGGGTTGAAGTGAATCACTTCTTGAAATGGCGTGGAAAGACTATCTTGAAATGGTTGTCGAGACTGTTGTTGAAATGATATTTAAGCGAATAAAGAGGGAACTGAAACTGATCACAGCTAACATCTCCGAATTGCAACTTTTAAAAGCCTCAGTCTGTTTTGAAGAGGTTATTAAAATAAGAAGATTAAAAAAGTCCATTAGTGTGTTTTATTCCAATCACTTTTAGACATTAGTGAGATCTAAAAATTATGGTGTCAAGACTAGAAAATGTTGATAACAAAAGAAAAGCTTCAAGTGTGCCAAGCGGTGTTTTGTATTTCATCAGGAGGTAACCACAATTCAGGGGTATTGAAGTTAATGTGTTTTCAATAGCTATAAAGCAACAAACTGTAGCAACAAGGATAAGTTGTGTTCCAGTACCTCAAAATGTTGGAAAAAAGTGAACAATGACTAACTAAAGTAAATGAAGAGATGAATAAACTGATAAATTACTACGGAACAGTTCTGATAATTACAATTCAAAATTTCGAAGAGATGAAATAACCCAACAATATTTGCGTGTAAATGCACAAACCTTAGTTTAGATCAAGCGTCATACATTTTCAAGCTATTTAAGGATGAAATTGATTTAAATAATTGAAATTAATTCTCAAAAACTATAAAACAAATTAATATGATTTAATTGCTAAGCGAAGGGGGATTATGATGAATAATAGAAAGCTGCAAACTTAAATCTGATGGCAGATCAAGGATATGACATATGACTAGGATTTAAATGCTAAATAACAAAAAACTACTATTTGTGAATCCTGTGTAACTGATAAAATATTCCAAAGTTAATAGAAACTTTAAAAAATTCGTAAATCTTGCAGATTTGAATCTTCATTCAGAATGAGGAGAGGAAGGTTCGTCATCATAGGGTGCATCAGTAAAGTTATTGCGACTTTGTTCTCCACGGGGATCCATTTCGGCTGCCAAACTAAAGTTTAATAACGCTAGATGTGTGTCACCAAGCTTTTTATGTACGCGACCCAGAAGGAAAAATACCTGAAAATTCCTCGTCATAATTAACATAGTCAAACTTAAATCCAAGCATTCTCGTATTAATAGTTTTAAATAATAAGAATGATAACTCATGCCCATTTATTTATCCAAAAACCTCTGCTCTTAACGTCTGAGTTAGAGTGTAAATTTCAAAAAGGATAGGTATTCATTTTATTTTACTCCATTTTCAATTTGAAAAATATTGATGACATCGTTCTAGGAGGGCAATTTATAATTTATTTTTAATATTTCACTATCATGGAAAAATAAAACTGAATTTTACATAAGATTCGACAAATTCTAATCCCGTCGTCAATAACAGGCTATCATCAGTAATGTGACTAGTACGGCTAAGATATGCTCGTTTCGAGAATGGCAGAAGAATTAGAAGCAGAAAAGTATAATGGTTGAAATATGAAAATAAATTCTAAAAGAAAATGAAACCTGCGCTTCATCGTGAGCAATAAGTTTTAAATCATTTAATTCCTCAAGACATTGAGCATAATCATGCATTTCATACAGCAAACGAGCACGATAAAATCTGCAGGCGGCATTGTTTGGTGAAATCTTCAAAGCGTTCTGTAACAGTTCCATTGCCTGCAACATATTTTATTTCTTCATATATAACATGATCAAAATTTATTCATTATAATACTACGCATTAAATGGCGATGTATGCCGGTCTTCTTTTGCTTCTTCCCTATTTTTATTCTCCATAAATAATTCCAAAACTCTACACATATTTTAAGTCCAACATTTTACAAAAAAATAATTTCAAACAATTAAACTATATTTAATAATTAATAATATAAAATATTTCACCGTATCATTATGGTGCAACGCTTGTTCAACAACCGATAATTGACATAGCAGAACAGAATTAAACGGATTGATTGCTACAGCTCGGCTTAAGTGAACACGAGCAAGGTTCACTTGTTCTTTTTTAAAATGTAATAAACCCAATCCGAACCATGCACGATAATCTGTCGGACAAAGTAAAAGTGCTCGCCTGCAATACTGTGATTATTTATTCTTTCAGTTTTACTATCAGATAGGTTATCCGAACATTATAAAATTACTGCTAGCATGCCCACGTGATTTATATATGTTGTACTTGATAGAAAGAGATGTGAATAGTGAAAGCGTGTGGACACCCTCTAACACACACGACATTAGACTGAAATGTAAAATGAAGTTTGAGAGATAAAACTATATAACAGTAATAATGAAAAAATTTATGTGGTCACGTCAATGAATAAACTGGGATAGCAACAACATTTGAAAAAAAAATCAAATAAAAGGTTTAAAAAACGTTTTTATTTCAAAACTGTCTCAATTATAGTTTCATGTTTTTACTCGTATACCGTTAATGACGCGACTTTATAGCATTATTTTGATACTCATATCCAACTAACCTGCTTAACAAGGCGGACTTGAGTTATCAAGTAAATCGAAATTTAGAAAAATCTTGCCTAAAGGCTGCAGCAGCTTTGTTCTGATGATCCGAATCCAACAATTCATGTCCTAACAACGTATAAGCATATGGAAAACGTGTATTAATAGTAACAGCACGTTCGAAGCATTCAATGGCTGTATCATGCTGCTTTTGCACGCTGAAGCAATTACCGGCTACACACCAACCCTCAGGACAAAAGCGACATTCCTCTGTTATTTGCATGGCAAGTACCGACAGCCGACGGACATCTTGCGCATGCCACAGTGCTGTTGAAAGAATCTATAAAAATAAATAAATCACCTATTTCCACAATTAACAATCAAATATAGCAATTATTATTTAATTCATATCATTATTCTCAAAATTTAATCGATTAAACTGATAAGACCAAAAGTGAAATAAATTAAGCACCTGTCATAAAATCAGACGTAGACCGGTCACTGTAAAACAAAAACAAGAATAATGAGGCAAAACTGATCGCATAAAATGCTTCAAATAGTAAAGAGCCATTGTATATTAGCCCAATAAGAATTAAGTTCTACTAACCAATAAAAGCCGTGGGAAAACCAAATTTAAACATTAATTTTTTTTCTTTTTTGCATGAGGCTTAAAATTTTTTTATGAGGTTCATGCACAATCGTGGATGTTTGGTGGCATGCAGTCATAGGGACTCATCATTTGCATTGAAAGTATGATTTTAAAGTAGACACAACAAAAAAAAGACCTCCATTCCCGCAACGCGATGTGGAAATTCTCGACGAAGTTCTTCCAGGATTTCTGTAGCCTTTGTATAATCGAGTTTTTCCAAATAGGCCCGAGCCAGCAATTCTCTGGCCAAAGCGAATTTTTTACACTTTTCAGGCATCAGGTTGTAGCGACCAATTACTGAGTTTGACCTGTATGTCGCCACAGCACATTGAAGCATAGCTAACCAACTAATGTGTTCTACCACTGTTGCTGCAAACACGGATTCGTACAGAATTAATTCTTTCTACTAAAACCATGAAATATATGGAGAATGATGCAAAGAAACGTACATAAGAGTTTTCAGCTTCGCAATATAAAACAGTGATATTCGCGTAGAAAATGGAAAATTATTTTTTTAATCTTTATATCTTTTCGTAGTCTTATTCCTACTCATTCAGTCCTTTTTAATTTTTCAAATAGGTTCCCTTAAATTAAGCCTTCAAAAAGAACTTACTGAATAAAGCAGACCAGTCAGCAATACAATGCTGAAGACGTTGAATTGATGGCGGCTTCGAGAGGAAACTTTGCAAACGTTTCATTATTCGGGTACATGTCTCCAATCGAAACTTCTCCCTGTTACGATGTTTGGGTGGTTTGGGTGAACAGGAAGATGTCAGCGATACACTGGATGATGAACGCGAGAAAACAAACGAGAGATCCAATGATTCTGGCTATAATAATTAGCTTTTTATTCAGCCACATGTCAAAGATTAATCCATGCAATAAAAACTTCTTAGGCATTCATGTCCTAAGAAGCATTCATGTCCTAATGCTTTTGAATTTTTTGCAATTTCAGTTCAAAATAATTTTCTTAAGAATAAAAATTCTGGAAATAGAAACTGGGTTACTAATCCCAGACCAGAGAAATAGAACTTAGTTATTTAAGCACCAGGTGGTAGTAGTTACTATTAGTATGAGTATAATGACTTAAGATTTTACAAGGACGATCAATCGAATATAGAGACCTCGAATCGTGATATAATCTTTTGTTATTTACTATATCAGTTATTTATAACAGGTATGATGTGGTGTACAAGTTAACAAGTATAAGTACATGAAAAATGTTTATTATTCAATCTCATTAAGGTAATAAATAAACAACTGCTTCACCCTACATCTATTATTTAGCAGTTGTCGCTTTATAAGTATCAATATAAACAATTTATAAGAATTCCATTTCTTCGTTCGACAGAAGTATTGATTGGATTTAAATGGTGTGATTATTTGAAAAGAAAAACGAGGGAAAGAAATGTCTGCAGATGGAGAAGAGAAAAGGATCGAAGAGAAAACTGAAATGAAAACGGGGAAAAAAAGAGGTATCTAGAAAAGCATCATCTCTCAAGCCGGTTAAAAGAACCATTACTTTTGAAAAGTAAAGTAGATATTAGTGATTAATTTGCTGATATACTCAAAAAGTTTAAAAAAAGAAAAATTAAAAAGTACCAACTTCCTGTTTAAATTGTACAGTATTTTGGTCGTGTGAAGAAAGGGGAATAACACAAGGTTGAGAGCCTGAACGTGTACGGCTTAATGAGCTTTTTTGCGCTTGGAGAGCAGATTCATCTTGCAATTTAGGTGGCGTATCTGGGAGGTCATCATTTGATTCTATAAGTTTATGAATTGAAGCTATTGGTGGTGGCGTTTTCGATAATTCCATTTCGTTAATGCGATTCACTGAGCTGAAAGTTCCGAATGTGTAAAGTTCGTCATCTTTATTTTATACATATAATTATGTATGAAATATCTGAAAGAAAGTCAACAGTCGAAAGCAATAACTTTAGAAAGATTAAAACTGATTAACAGATGCATTCTCATCAAGTTTATTATCAAAAATTTTTTTACCGTAATTGCTTGTCTTGCAAACTACGTGGCACCCCACTTGTAGAGAGGCCTACAACACGAGAACGTGTAGAAGATCTCAAATCCTTTGAAACAGTTTGATTTTCGCTGTCCTGTGAGACTCCATATGAGCGCATGCTGCGCCTTGTCTCCATGCCTTCCTCCAGTCGTCTTCTGACTATACCTAGCTCCGTATTTCGCTTAGCTACTATGTTCTGGAAATTCAAATTATGAAATAATTTTAAAGAATTTCGATTTAGTTTAGAAAGAAGAATGGTCATATATAATTAGAATTGTTTAATGATTTACCGTTTTACTTTTTTTTGGTGCAAAGCAAGTTACTTTTTGCTCAATTTCTTTACTACCGCTTGGCGTTCTTTTCTCCGCACTTTTTGCCAATTTATCAGCGCTCCTCGTTGCTACACCCATGCTAGAAGTTCATAATCAATACAGTGATTTTTACTATAATATGGTGAGAAGTATAATGTTCTCACATGATCATGATGAGACCGACTAATGATTTCTGTTCCTCAATAACCTGTGAATTACCATTAAAACATGCATGATTTAATAATTTTTCACGATTTAATAAATTATGCAACATTTAATACGTGCACGATTGAATAATAATGAAAAATTAAGCGAAAATGCGGATATCTGAGCATCGGAAAGAAGCAGCTTTGTTGGACCAGATAAATAAGGCAAAGTTAGCAATATTTTTGAAAGTCAACATACTGTTTTAAGCATTTGTAAAAGATAATGAGCCTTTAAATTCCATTTCAGTTTCCAAATATTTTTCCAAAGAAAAAGAATCAACAATAATTCTAATACTGATGAAGTGTATCTGGCATTAAGTTATAGCCAAATTAAAAAAATACCTTTTCGAGGTTTTTGGTTTATCTGCTGAACGCGCTTCATTAACACATGTCAACAAATTTGTATAGATGTTTTCTGGATTTCCAACGCCCAAATTACACAATGTTTTCAAACTCGTCCATGAGAATACATTTTGCTCTAATGCTAATTTACCTTCATCAGCTGCTTCATCAGGTCGACCAGTTTCTCTGAAATAAATAGGTAAATCATATCTGATTCGCTCTAATTTTCACAGTACTGTTTAAAGAGCTGTGATACAAGAAATTTTCCTTCTCGTTCTACATTTTCATGACAAATACTAATCGCATAATAATCTTTTTTTATAAAATAAATATACTTGCACTGACATGAAAACTCTGCTGAGCAGACTGTGGGCAAACGATTCTACAGAAGTGTTGGTGAAACAATCATCTAATTTGGGTTGATCATGCATACGTAAAGCCATTTCTGCTTCTTGATACCTGAAGGGACATTTATATTTCAAGGTTGATATGAAACAAAAATTTATATGTAAGCAATATGTACACATGTATAAATATTCTCAATACCTAATACTATGTTTTATTTATCTACAAAACAACACACATTCGTTGTGCAGAATGCTTACAGAGTAAAAGTTCTCTGGCCTAATCAACTGCGCTTACTTATTTGTTATTATTATTACTTCAAAAATAAAGTTTCTATAACTCCATATAAAATGCATTTCATTTGCGGACGCATAAAAAAAAATGTATTCCTGTACCAAAATCCGTACTTTTCTAGATGATAACAGCAATGTGCAAACAGATAACGAATTTCTGCAGATGAAAGAAATTTGAGTTTCAATAAATTATATGCTGCCTCCATACGTTCAGCTCGAGTTAAACAATAAGCGTATAAATACAACGAATCAGTAGTATTCACTGAAAGATTAGGATATACTTATCTGATTTATTTTTTTTCATCTTTTAAGTTCTATCTTTTAATAGTGGATGGTCATTCAATGTGTATTTGAGCAGCAGACAACATATATAAATAATAAGTTTCTCTTAAGATTTCGGGCAATCACTGCAATTTTAGTCAGAAAAGTTTTATTTTCATATTTTTTGAGAGGGCCAATACTATTTCTGAGCATTTCAAAAAAGAAAAGCTACCTGTTTCATGATACACTTCGGCGAGCATTACAGCATCATCGTATTCAAAGTGTTGAAGAGAGCAATGTATAATATTCTGAAAAGATAAACACATTTATTTGAAACTATGACGATCTGAATCATTACTTGAGCAACTTAAAACTTAATTAGTTGTTCTACTAAGTCAGTTTTGCAGATGTACATCAAGACAAAAAAGTGCAATATAAAGTAGAATGTGAATTTTAATCATGAAATAAGAACAGTAATTAAAGAATCAACCTCAATTTCTTTACTGCGCGTAGGATCTATATTATCAGAAGGTGTAACTCTACGCATATTGGAAAAGATGAAATACCAATCATATAGCAACCACTAGATCCGATCTCACTATTTTTCCTGTAACAAATTCATTAAATATCTGACTGTCTATTAGAATCCAAATTCATTCCGTTAACGAACTTCCAGTTTGACCGACAGTCAATATTAATTTATTGAACCATGAGAAATAAAAAACGCGAGCACAAGATCTGCTGTTGACCCACAGCTTTTGATAATCTTTTATCTGCAAAAGAAGAAATAACAAGCTATGATAAATAGTGCACTAGTTATGAGTGTAAATGAGAAATAATAAACCAACAAGCAAATGTGATACAAAGCAGGTAATTCAAAGTGAATGCAAGCTTCATTAACAATCTGATATTAACAAATTTAAACGTTTGTTTCAATTATACATTAGTCACGCACTAGCTCAAAGTTAAATTTCAACTGGAGAAGCTAAAGTCAACTGCATACACCTCCTTGTTATTTTTCACTTTGTTATTCGAAAAATTGATAATATATTCACCCTTCAACAGTGCCACTATCTCCTTCGTCCTGTAATAATAACATCCGAAAATGAAAGGAACATTTTCATGGAAAAAAAGGATTTTTCTTTTTTCTCTAGAATTAGTATAATTTATAAAAGGATTTGCGATACATCTCACCAAAGCCTAACTATAATCACTCAATCTCCACATCTCGCTGAACTATAGGTCATTCAGCCATTTCACTGGACCACAGGTCACTCAGTCGCCATCTCACTGAAGCCACTTAGTCGTCACTTTTCGCCAAATCATGTCGCATTCGGATTAACTGTGGATCATTTAGTCGCATCAAATTCAATCTCCATGTTATGGGAAAACACTTTTTTGCATCTTATCATTGTTACCATAAAAATGCCTTTTAAACAACAATACCATCGAACGACAGGCCTTACCTAAGAATTCCAAATTTTAAATTAGCGGGGAAATTATGGTAGAGCCATTTCAAAGTTTTATCTGTCAGTGGCTAGGAGGTAAAAGAAGAAAAGGAATTTTAACATAGACTACTGGATTGGATAAGTTAGACAAGCAGATAGCTAGAAATAGTTTGTGTTAGCGAAGCAGAGTATCGGCTGCGTCAATTATAAAAGGGCTGTTAGACACGATATCTTCAAAAGGGAGGAGAAGGAATGGGAGGAGGGGTGATGATGAGTAGGGTGGCGTGGTACACGTGGTGGAGTGGTGTACGTGATGAGAACTTATTTTTTCAGACATTAATCAGTTCTATAAGACGTGACATTATGTCAGAGTTAGCAGTTAGCAGTTCTTTCAGTTTCCTGTGTGGAAAGTAAGTTTCACCTCATTTGTTTAAACTGGAGAAATTTTTAAGTAGTTTAAAGAAAGTTTTCAAAATTTAGTTGAAGATTCAGATGAAAGCATTGGAAAGTGACAGCATAAGAGATGATTTGTGTTAACTGACATACTCATATTACGCTTCATACTAATGGAAACTCCTTGCGCTCTGTTTTGTTCTCATGACACAAAATAATTTTTCAAAAAACTTTTATTTATGATGGAGGAAGAGAAGCAGGGAGATGAAAAAAATAGGATAGTAACTTCTCCTAACCATATGGACTTACGTCCTTACCTGAATGGTCATCCGGAACTTTGTGACTTTATTACATTGCAAGTTTGGGATGCGTACAAAAAGTAGTGACGAATGGAATCTTTGCGGCAGCTCAGGAACATTTGAGGATTTAATTAAACTAATAATCATATAATAGTCGTCCAAAAGTTGTTAGCTTTATTTCATAAAGTCGAAGCAAAATCGAAATTAACCCATATTATCAAATGGTGAATTTTCCCACTTATTTCTTATGTTGCTGATCACGAAAGGTACTTCCATTGCTGATCACAGATATCTGTCAGCATTACTAATTACCATGTTTTCTTGTTTTCAGCTGTAAACGTGGGCACGTGGGCCTCGAGTGTTATTCCTGACGCCCCTACTGGTGGTTTATTTAATAACGGACATATTCACTCTTTGGAAAGTTTTGTTAATGGTAACTTGCGTTTTTCGTTTATTATTAAATTTTTACATATGTAGGATATTGAATTTTATGAAACAGATAGTATGTGTGAAAACCAAGAACTTTGAAAAGCGTAACTGGTTTGTTGCAATATTTCCAGAAGTTTCATCGGACTGGTGTTGTCATTTGGTAGATGGCAGTACGTTAGCAATATTTTTACCTTTTGATCAACGTACATGGAATTTATCGAAGGGTGCATTTGTCTCGTTGTTGGAATTTTGTGAAGACAATTTGCCAGTTAGGCGTATTCTGTTATGCTTAAACAAAAGCAGCGTCGATGAAACGGTGCGTTTTGATAAGATTTGCCTTTGTTATAGATGAATAGTTAGTAAACCCTTTTTTCATAAAGAAATGATATAGAAAAATGATAATTTGAGCTTAGTTGATGATTTTAATATATCATTTCTCCATTAGTAGTTTTTGAAGTATAATATTGTGAGGATGGTTGCCGACACTGTTACCTTGCACTGAAGACGCACTATCAAATGTAATACTTTTGCATTCAGTCAAATAGCGTATCCTTTCTGTTTTTTATACTTAGTCACGATTTCAGGTCGTATCTTGTTTCAAGTATCTGGGTTTCAATCCTCTTCATCCTCATTCGTATCCAACCTGTATTGATCCTCAAGGAGTGTTTGCAATGGTTTATAATATGTAGCTCGTTTTCTTATTTCTCATAGCTTAGTTTGAACATTTGGTAGTAATTTGAGAATGTTTTGATTTGCGTGGTAAGACATTTCATATGATTAGGTACATTCTTAGATATTCCGATTGATAAATGGCAATTTCGATTTCTATTTTATCTACAAATGTTCCCGCTTTGATCTTCGTTTCGCTGTATAATATGTTTATTACTTCGAGACTGATATGTATTGCTTATTAGGTAAAAGATTGAAAGTTGAGACCATGATGTAAATTATTTCCTTTATGGATGAAATACTTATTCTAAAAATAATATACTTCAAATGAATAGTAAACTAGTAGGAAGAGCACAGTTTTCTGGTTCTATTGTTCATAATTTCTGTAAACTATGTTTGTACCGAATTATTTACTTACCATGCGGTCTTATTTTAATGTGATTTACTATAATTTTGAAATAATTTCAGATCTTGGCTTTGCTTAATTCGTTTTTGTAAATGGCTTTCCATTCACTGACATACAATTCCATTTTTGTATTGCTTGGAGAGGATTCATCTGGAATAATGTTGTGGCGTTATAAGAAATACAAATAGTTTTATACAGAGATTTCGTTGTTGCTTACATTTAAAATCAATATGTGTACTGCATACTTTTTCTAAAAGAGAATGCAAGAAGTTAAACACAAACTTCATTAAAAATTTGTAAACTTTTAGTAGAGTAGACCTACAGCATGAATTGATGTAAGTAAATTGTCTAAAAAGTGTGACGAAAGATGTAAGGTGAATTTTTATAATTTTTATTTTGCAGAATAATAAAAGAAAGATAAGTGAAAAAGCTTCGATAGGAAACAGGGGGTTTTTTTTAAGGATCCTGTTAGTAACTGAGATCATCTTGAATGGATGAGAGCAGAAATGTTTGTTCAGAGAATAGAGATGTCTTTGCATCTTAAGCCTGGAATGGGTTTGTGTATGGAAAGTACTGGGTATAGCTTCTCGCATCATTTACAGGACAGTGATCTCAGAAGGGTCAACAGGAATTCCCTCTCTTTAGACAATTCGTCGTCATGATTGTGCCAAAACACTAAAGGATTATCAGAGATGGGAAGGTTTTATGAAGACTCTTCAAGAGATAGGAATCTGATATATTTTCTGGATATTTTACCATTGGATACTGTTGAATATGCGTGCGCCTATGGTTCGGGTGCGGTACTGCAGGAGAGTAATGGTACATTCGGCGAAATGATCGATTTTATTATTGCAACGCGGGATTCAAGCCAATTTCATAAGCAAAATTTGGAAATGAATCCGATGCATTACTCGTCGTTACGTTTTCTGGGTTATCAAAAAATTGCGCAGTTGCAAAGGAACTATGCTGCTCGGGTTTATTGTAACACTCGAGTGTTGTACCAAGTATGGTTTAAATCCTATTTTTTTCGAAATTTACAAAAATTTATTTCACTGGTTGTGGATGGTGCGATTTTTTGCATCTGATAAACAATCTTGTAACATTCTAAGTTTCTATATGAAATTCAGAATCGAAGAATTTTAGTCTAGAAATTTGAAAAAAATCATTGATCCTGTTCATATGTGTAATAACTTAAAGCTTATTTTCAGGATCAGCTTATAAAGTATTCTGTAATTGATACTGATGATTTGTTGCTGGATCTGATCGAATGGAGATGGATGTATTTAGCCGGAAGATTACAGAAACATGTTGTTGATGTCATCAGTCCTTCATCGAGGATAACTCTCGCTATAAAAAAGAATCGTTATAGTGCTTTACAGGTATTCAAGTTCTCATTAACTTTTTCGCGGGTTTTTTTTGAAAGCCCAGGTATCATATCAACTTTGAGGCATCATGATTGTTTTGCCAGACAAATATACACTTTTACAATTTTCAGGCAGCCTTATTACTTTTGCCGGACAAATTTTCATTTTCACAATTTTACAATGAGCTCATATCGCTTTCATATCGAGGTGATTTTCGAATGTCATTTGGTGAAGACAAAAATAAAATAGGAAGAATTGCTGA